CAAGACGCCCAGGATGAGCTCAAAACGGCCCAAGAGGCCGCCAAGACACCCCATGAAGCCTCCAAGAGGCCTCCCAAGAAGCCTCCAAGAAACCAAAATCTTGAAAATTTATTTGGAAAACGTGCTTTTTCAACATATCCAACTTGTTAGCCTTCACGGCGTTGAAAACCGTCCACGAGGCCCCAACGAGGCCCCCAGGACCACCCCAAGACGGCCCACGAGGCTCCCAGGAGGCCCCAAAGACAACCCAAAAGAACTCCAACGTGGCCCAAGAAGCGCCCTAGACGGCCCAAGAGAGCTCCAGAACGGCCCCAAGAAGGGCCCAAGAGAGGGACCACGAACCGCGAATTCCAGCGCTCCGCCCAACGAAGCTCTCCGGAGGACCCAAGAGGCCCCCAAGCGGCCCCAAGAAGCCCACATGAGGCACCCAAGAGGCCCGAAGGAGCCTCCAAGAGGCCCAAAAGAAGCCCCAAAACGGCCCTCAAGACCCTTCGAAACTGCCTCGAAGAGGCCCGCGAGAATCCGCGCCACGAGATCCCAACGGACATCCCAGAGCGCGCCACACACGACCCTGAACTTGACGCATTATTGATACTTTTCCTCGCCCCAGCTTCGGTCCCGGGAAATACGGTAACAGCAACGAGGCGCAGTAGTTTATGATTCGGACAAGCCTCGTGGAATGCAGTCCTGAAGGCGCAGAAGTTTAATAGAGGGGTCGGCGGATGTGGCGTGAGCCTATGGAATTATCGAAAAATCGTCACCCGACAATTTTTGTTTGAGCATTTCTGAAGATACCTCCTGTAGAGGGACATGCCCGACCTAAATCCAGTGCCACTCGGTCTCTGCCCCCCGACCCCTCCCAGGGTCCATCCTGGCCGGTGTCTCGAGCTGCGTCCAGCTGCGGCGACGGGAGCCTGCAGAAACTTCGAAGAACCTCCGAAGTGACACTGCCCTCGTCGTCGTCGCCGCCGCCGTGCTCGCTGCCGCCCCCGCCGCCGCCGCCGCCGTCGTCATCGTCGTCGCCGTCGTCGTCGTCGTCTTCGGCTTCGTCGTCGGCGTCGGCGCCGGCGTCGCCGTCCGCTGAGGCCCCCCTCCCTGCCACGAGCCGCACCTCTGCAGTGCTCCTTCGGAGCCTGCCAGGCAAGGAGCACCCGGCGGCGAGGCCCGCGGCCCCCTAATTCCGACGCCGCGCTCCGCCCGCGCGGTCTCCCGGCCGGGGGCCCCGGGGCGAGCCGAGGCCGAGAGGAGGAGCATCGCCTCGCAGGTGGCACGGAGGGAGCACGAGCAGCTCAGAAGCAAGGTGGGCAGAGCGAAGCAGAAGGATGACAAAGCATGCGAGGGCTTGCAACGTGCAGCAGAGTGGGCTGCGATGTCTCGGCAGGAGTGGGAGCAGCTCACCAGCAGAAGGAGATGGCGGCTCGTGGATCGGCAGCCCATCCTGCCATGGGCAGCGTCGAGGTGCAGCCGCAGGACATGGACGCGAGGGTGATCCTGCTGCAGCGCGCTGAGATGCTGCAGGAGCCCGAGCTCAAGGAGGAGGAGGGGGGGGAAGGGGAGGAGGAGGAGGAGGAGGAGGAGGAGGAGGAGGAGGAGGAGGAGGAGGAGGAGGAGGAGGAGGAGGAGCAGGAGGAGGAGGAGGAGGGGGGGGAGGAGGAGGGGAGGAGGAGGAGAGGAGGAGGAGGAGGAGGAGGAGGAGGAGGAGGAGGAGGCGGAGGAGATGCACGGCGTCTGGCAGGCGAAGAGGGCGCAGTAGCCAGCGGGCGGGCGGGCTGGGCGGGCGGGCGGGTCTGGACCCCTGAAGGGCAGGATCGGGCGGGCGGGCCCCGACGGCGGGGTCGAGCGGGCGGGTCGCTGAAGCGTCAAGCCAAGATGAAGCGGAGGGAAGGTTCGAGTGATAGCGCGATCCCCAAGGAAATCGTGAGAAAGTCGATGGCGAGAGCGCGATTCCTGAGTCTCCGGGGCACGGCGCCACAATGCACTGCAAGGAAGTACCACGCGAGAGCGCGATTTCTGCATAAGTGATAGAGAAGTCCCGCACGAGAGCGCGATTTTGAAACACACTGTAAGCAAGTTTTAAGCGGAAGCCGTTGTTGTTGTAGACCGGGGGCCGGGGGCCCAATCTGAGCCGCAAGACCTTCACTGATCAAAAAATTGAATGCGGGCCCCAGGCGTAGCACATGAATTGAAAAACACATGGGCACCAGGTGGATCAACAGTAATCACTATTTCGAAATGAAAACTCAATAACGGCGGCAATAGCACTAACAACAACAACAACAACAACAACAATCATTTTAAGACTATTCGCTCTTATCTGCTCGCGTGCCATTCAACACGTATATCCCAAACCCTCGATACCCGCCCTCTTCGTCTTCGATCGTATCCCCTTAGGGGTACATCCTTCTTAACTGCAACGTGTAGTTCGTGCAGCCCCCAAGGCAGGGGAAGAGAGGACGGATGGAAGGAAGGGACAAGGGGAAGGAAGGAGGATGGAGCACAAGAGAGGTTAGCAGGAGAGGGACTAGGAGCAGACAACGCGTGGCAGAACCAGACGGGCAGATCGGGCGGGTAGCCCCTGCCGGGCGGGTCGGGAAGGCGGGCCCAGGCAGCCAGGTCGAGCAGGCGGGTTGCTGAAGCGCGCGTCCTACATGAATCGCAAGGAAGTCCCGAGCGATAGCGCGATTCCCCCATAAATCGTGAAGAAATACACACCGAGAGCGTGATTCCTGAGTGACGAGGGCGCGGCGTCTGAGTAAATTGCGAGGAAGTCCCACGCGAGGGCGTGACTCCTGTATAAATTGTGAGGAAGGTCCCGCGCGAGAGCGCGAGTTGGGAATACATTGTGAGGAAGTATCAGGCGGGAGCCGCTGACGTTGTAAACCAGGTGCCAGGGGTGCAGTTTGGTGACACCTCACTTTCCCTTCTAAAAACATGGTGCGAGCCCCGGTAGAAGCACTATAATCAAACAATACAACGATTAACGGGGAAGGGGGATCGACAACAATGATTTCTTAGAAATGAGTACTCAGCCATAACATCATCCCCATCACCGTCGTCGTCGTCGTCATCATCAGCAGCAGCAGCATAATTGTCACCTCCATCATCTGTAGCATCATCATCAGCATCATCCTCATCATATCAACATCATCATCATCATCATCATCATCATCATCATCATCATCATCATCATCATCATCATCATCATCATCATCACCATCGTCATCATCATCATCGTCATCATCATCATCACCATGAACATCATCATACTCTGCATCATCATCATAATCATAATCAGCATCATTATCATCTTCGTTATCATCATCGTCGTCATCATCATCATCATCATCATCATAGTCATTATCATCATCATCATCACCACCATCACCACCATCATAATAGTCTGATAACTTCCAGTATCGTCATCATCAGCATGTTAATCCGCATCATCATCAGCAGAATCATCATCAGCATCGTCATCATCATCAGCAGCATGTTCATCCCCATCATCAGCAGCGCCATCATCAACATCGTCATCATCATCAGCATAAGTATCATTAGCATCATCATCGTCGTCCTCATCATCATCAGCAGCAGCATCATCATCACCATCGTCGTCATCATCATCATCGTATCAGCATATCCATCATCATCACCAATTCTGCCATATCCGTCACCAACAACATCATAGTTGGCATCCCCGTCATCAGTACCAGTGTCATCAACGTTACCACCACCATCATCATAATCAGCATCAGCAGCATCCGCATCATCGTCAGAATCACTCATCGGAAGCATAGTCGTCGTCATCGCCAGCTTAATCATCATGATCACCATCATCACCAGCACCACCAACACCATCAAGTTCAATACGGACATCATCCTCATCATCAGCAGCGTCTCCATCATCATCACCATCATCATAATCATCCTGATGACCGTCATCATCATCGACGTCGTCATCATCAGCAGCATGATCAACAACAAGAGCATCAGCATCAACATCCCAGCTCCTCCACCCTCAACCCCCCATTCCCGCTCCTTCCCGATCCTTCCCCCTCCTCCCCGCTTCGGTGTGGGGCTGGACTCGCTCGGACGGTCGGGAACCGCGACCCCCGGCGCCGCCCGCGGCCTCGGCCGAGGCAAGCCAGCTTCAGGACGCGGAGACTCGTGCGCCTCCTTGCGGCCAATCTCCGTGGATGGGCACGTGGTGCCAATCTGCAACCCCGCTGGTGAAATCCCCGTCCCCCTCCTCCTCCTTCTCCTCATCCTCCTCCTCCTCCTCCTCTTCCTCCTCCTCCTCATCATCATCATCATCCTCATCATCATCATCATCATCATCATCATCATCATCATCATCATCATCACCATCACCATCATCATCATCATCATCATCATCATCATCATCATCATCATCATCATCATCATCATCATCATCATCATCATCTTCTTGTTCCTATGTTTTTTCTTCATCATCCTTCTCCTCCTCCTCCTCCTTCTCCTCCTCCTCGTCCTCTTCCTCCGCCTCATCGTCCTCCTCCTCCTCCTCCTCCTCCGCCTCCTCCTCCTCCTCCTCCTCCTCCTCCTCCTCCTCCTCTCCTCCTCATCATCATCAGCATCATCATCATCACCATCATCATCATCATCATCACAGCAGCATCATCATCAGTATCATCATCATCATCATCATCATCATCATCATCATCATCATCATCATCATCATCATGACCATCATGAGCAGCACGAGCATCATCATCATCATCATCATCATCATCATCATCATCCTCATCATCATCATCATCAGCATCAGCATCATCATCATCATCATCATCATCATCATCATCATCATCATCATCATCATCATCATCATGATCATGATCATCATCATCATCATCATCCCCTCGGCCCCGCCCTCCCCCCCCACCCCCCTCGTCGCCTCCGCCGCCACGACGAGCGGGGCCAGCGGCGGGCGAGAGGCTGCCCCCCCGCTCCCCCAGGCGCGGTCACGTCGATTCCGCCACGGCCTCCGCGGCCATGTCGTGGCACTCCTGAGCGCGGGCCTCCTCCCTGCGCTGCCTTCGGAGGAGCGGGAGAGGAGGAAAGAGAAAAAGGAGAAGGAGGAGGAGGGGGAGGAGGAGGAGGAGGAGGAGGAGGAAGAGGAGGAGGAGGAGGAAGACGGGAAGGAGGAAGGGGAAGACGAAGAGGAGGAGGAGAAGGAGGAGGAAAAGCATCATCATCATCATCAGCAGCAGCATCATCAGCATCATCAGTATCATCAGCATCATCAGCATCATTATCAGCAGCATCAGCATTGTCGTCATCATCATCACCATCATCAGCAACATCAGCATCAGCATCATCAGCAGCATCAGAATCATCATCAGTATCATCAGCAGCAGCATCATCAGCATCATCAGCACCATCGTCATCATCGTGGTCATCACCATCGTCATTAACAGTATCATCCTCATCATTAGCATCAACGTCATCATCGTCATCATCGTCATCATCATCATTAAGATCAGCATCAACACCATCTTCATCATTATGGCCGTCACCGTCGTCATAGCCACCACCACCACCTGCTGATAGATCGCGGCACGCACTGGTACTATCGCGTTGTCCATGCACGCATCAATAGTTTAATGTCGTCGAGTGAGAACAAGCTGCATTGGAGGTGACTGCTGGCAGTGCCTGGGGTCGCGAATATGATCCTCCCATGCCGATGTAGGTGATCGGCGTAGAAATACCTTCTGACTTGACAATGTCTGGTGGACACCCCGCATGCAGCGCGAGGTCGAAGCCAGTGTCCGCAACAAGGTAGTCGGACCACTTTTGCCTAGCAAGCGCCGCACCCAGGAGCGGCACTTGCAGGTGCTCGGCGTGCCCTACCTATATGGCAAGCGTTGTACTAACGTCGCTGATAGTGTCGGTGGTAGACAGACCTCCCTTAAGTAAACTACCCGTTGGTGAAAAAGATCTAGGACCGAAGCCGACGGACCTGGACCCGCAAAAAATTCTGCCGCGACGCCCTCTCGCGAACCGAAAACGGCCAATTAGCTAATCGACGTGTCAGGGTAGGAGGTCGATCTACCTCCGATAGTGGCGTGTGTAACCGCCCCGAAGCTTGTAGGGTGGGCCCAGTGCGTCCTCCATGACGCAGGACTGCGGTAGGCTGGTGCCTCCTATGCATATTTCCATATGGACATAGCTGACGTGGGCGTTGGTCAGTCAGAAGCTCTCCTTTCCTTTTTCCCAACTATCCTGTGGTGTTGGATCCTCGTTTTGACGAGACGGCCCCCGCGTCCCTCCTCCTCTCCTCTTCCTCCCCCTCCCTCCTCTCCCTCCTCTCTCCTCCCTGCGTTGCACCCACCCATTACAGCGCTGAGTGGCCCCATAAGGGGGCTCCACCGAAGGTCCCAGTGGCACCGCCCGCATGCGTCCGCCACCACCCAGCACAGCCCTTGCTCCCTGCGTTTCACCCACCCAGTACAGCGTTTCGTGGCCCCATAGGGAGCTCCACCGAAGGTCCCAGTGGCACCGCCCGCATGCGTCCGCCACCACCCAGCACAGCCCTTGCTCCCTGCGTTTCACCCACCCAGTACAGCGCTGAGTGGCCCCATAGGGAGCTCCACCGAAGGTCCCAGTAGCACCTCCCGCGTGCGTCCGCCACCACCCAGCACAGCCCTTGCTCCCTGCGTTTCACCCACCCAGTACAGCGCTTCGTGGCCCCATAGGGAGCTCCACCAAAGGTCCCAGCGGCACCGCCCGCATGCGCCCGCCACCACCCAGCACAATTGCGGTATTCACAACTGCAGATGGTTGGGTCCTTCGCCAGGCTAATTTCGGAAACATGGGTTCGGTATACGCTCCCCGTCTGCTCCAACTCCTCCTCCCCCCCTTCACGTCCCTCCTCCTCCCTCCTCCTCCCCCCGGCTCCCCCTCTCTATTCTCCCCCTCCTGCTGCATCGCCGGGATCAGTTGGCCGTGTTCAGCCTCGCCGAGCCTCGCCTGGCAGGGCTCGGCCTGGCCGAGTTTCTACTGGCCGAGGTTAGAAGTGCTGCCTTCGGGAGGTCCCCGACGGGTGCTCGAAGCGCTGGCTGGCCCTCCGGCGTCCCAGAAGCTGAGGCGCGGTGAGGATGCAGGGGCCTTGGAGGGCCATGGTGGCGTGTTCGAGCGGGGCTGGCCAGCGAAAGTCGCCGGGGATGGGCCGGAGGGGCGAGGATGAGAGGGGTACTCCAGATTTCGTAATAAAGGGAGGGGGGTCTCATTTCGGGGGGGTCTCTTCCAGGCTATCTTGGAGGGCCTGGGGGGGTCTGGGGACGATGTTCTGGAGGGTTCTCCCACGGGGGGGGGGGTCTAGAACTTCTCGTCTGGGAGGGTTGAGACCCCCTCCCTTTTATTACGAAATCTGGGGCAGCCTTGGACAGCGGCTCATCCTTGCTGGGCGACTGGACTCTCTCGGGGGGCGGCGGCCAGCCCCACCCCCGCCCGAGCTCAGGCCTCGCCTGCTTTGGGCGGCCCGCCTCTCGGGCCCCATACGGGCAGAGAGAGAGAGAGATACACACACACACAAGAAAAACACACACACACGTATGTGTATGTATGTATGTATGTATGTATGTATGCATGCATGCATGCATGCATGCATGCATGGATGGATGTATGTATGTATGTATGTATGTATGTATGTATGTATGTATGTATGTATGTATGTATGTATGTATGTATGTATGTGTATACATATATATATATATATATATATATATATATATATATTCATATGTGAATATACATTCATCGCGTTACCAGAAGTAACGCATAATAAGAAACGAATGGGCTTTTCTGGCCAAGGCGGGCCCAGGCCACAAGCAGCTTCCACGACAGAAATCTAAGGAACGCCCCGAAATGCCGAGACCCTCCTGAACGCAAAGAGGTCCTTATTTCAGCGTCTTGACTCTAAATTGTCTCGATCCTATTGTCTCGATCCTATTTGCCAGTTCGATCCAGCTCAGGCCTGCCACCAGAGGAACTTCCTTAGATGTAGAGGGGCGCACATATTTGCATAGACTTGAACTTTCGCAGCTCCGGCGCCGCCCCTGGCACCGGAGGTGCGCCAGGGAAGGCACCCATCCGAGAAGTCCGCGCGGAGCTCCAAAAGTTTATGTTCGTCCCGCGTTTTGGTCCTCTACAGAAAGTAAATCGCTCCAGTGGCAGGTCTGAGCTGGATCGATTCGTGAAAGAGGATCGGATCGGATCGGAAGCGGATCGGATCGCCAACGAATCGGCCCGAATCAAATCGAAATCGGATCGCCGCACTCGGCTAGCTGGTCCCAGCCGATGCTGGTGAATCGAATGGAATCGGATCAAGTCGAAATCGAGGCCCCAGTCGGCGGATCGAAGCTCCTCGAATCGGATCGCAGGCGGCCCTGACGGGCGAGAGGTCCAGACGCAGGGTGGGGTCGAGAGCTCTGGAAGCCCACATCTACTTGGCGGCGCGCACAAGAGGGGGCAGGGGGAGAGGGGAAACCGTCTCAGAAGCAGCCCTGCTGCTTAGAAGGCGCGGGCCTTGTATCTACAGACAAGACCCGCGCCTCCTAAGAAGAAGGCGATGCATCGCCAATACGTCGGCGGTACATCGCCGATGCGTCGGCGATGCATCGGCGAGGCATCGGGGACTCCAGCGCGGAGGGAATCGAGTCCCGCATCGAGCCGCGTCGCCGATGCATCGCCGATGCGGCGCCACCCTCCGACCCGAACTACTCGGACCCCATCCAGGAGGCCCAGCACTCGCGCACCACCACCGCCATGCCTGGCCGGGGCCGTCCCGGGCCCCGGCATGGCCTCGCCACCGCTCGGGCGCCCAATCCCCGTGCGCATGTCGACGTCGTGCGTGCATGCTGTTCGCAAGATTGCTCCCCGGCAGTTCTCGCCGAGAGACGCTGCACAGGTCCGAGCGACGCCCAGCGGTGCAACACCAGCCTGGGGCCCAGGGTGGCCCCAGCGGGGCGTCGCGGTGGTGTGGGACAACACCCCCTGTGCGGAGCAGCACACTGGCGAAGTCGGAGGTCGGAGGTCTGGCGCGCCTGCCCTTCCTTCCTCCGCCCTCCTTTTCCAGGCGGCTCCGGCACCTCCGTCTTAAGATATCCCGCCTGCTGCAAGAGATCAGCGGCCCAATCGGCCTGCCCACCGCTCGCGGCGGCCGCACGTGCGGCTCGGGGCATCGGTCGGCGGCGGCAATCGGCGGATGGCGCTGAGTGCTTATCCAGCGCCCCCTGCGGGACAGCGTCACAGGCTGGTCGGAAGTCAGAACGATCCGCGGTCTCGCAAGTCGGCGTCCTCATCGGCTCAGGCCGCGCAGAGGATGACCTACCTCGCAGCAGCCTTCCGAGCGTTGGCCACATGACGCCTGAGAACCGGGTCGACCGCGCTCCTGAAGAGATGCTCTGACTTCCTCGCCTCCTCTCCGAAGTGTCCCTCCACATAGCCGGTGAACACTCCCCGGTTCTCGAACTCATAATAGAGCACGTACCGATCCGTGCCCAAGTGGTTTTCCATCGCCCTATGGTCGACGAAGGAGTCGTACAGCATGATTGCCCCAGGCGGAATGTTGGTGACAACCTCGTAGCCCGGCGTGCCCATGCAGTGGGATCCAGGCCGGATGCCAAGGGGGCCGTTGTTGGCCACCAGGGGCGTCAGGGGCACCCCGACGGTCAGCTGCGCGCACGGCCCGGGCAGGATGATGTCCCTGTGGCGGGTCATCAGCGGAGTGCGGCCAGGCGTCTTGGTGACCATCACTCTGCCGAGCCAGGGCCCCCAGTCCTCCGGATCCACGCTGCCCACAGTCGTGGAGCCTTGGGGCGGGCTCTCCGCCAGCGGTCCCAGTTGCGGCGGCACGCCCCGGAAGAAGTCGATGTCGCCACCATCGACCACCCACTGGCACCACGCGGCCTGCTGCTCTTCCTCCGTGCGGCCGAGCGCCATGTTGTTCGTGCAGTAGTGGGCGGTGACCTGCAGGACCAGGTCGTTCATCGCCAGCCAGTCTGCGGACCACGGCTCGCAGTACGGCACGTGCACCTGCGAGCGATCCGCCCGCAGCGGCGACGTGAAGAAGCCGTCTGGCATCGTCTCGAACTGCCGGATGGCCTCCTGCTCCATGAGCCTCTGGCCCTCGGGCGGCACCATGTTCTCCGCCACAACGAAGCCGTACTTCCTCAGGACGCCCAGGACGCGCTGCACCAGGTCGCGCCGCTCCTGACTCCCCTCGGCCGCCGCGCCCCAGCCGCCGCAGTCCACGACGAACTCGCGCGCCAGCGGGCTGGCGGCGGGGCCGTAGCAGAAGAGCCTCGGGGGCGGCAGCGCGTCGACGTCCACCCCGCCGTTCTGGTTGGCGACGGGAGGGAGCCGCGAGGCCACGCAGACATAAAGACCCCCGGGCGCCCGCGGACACCTCCTCCGCCGACGCCGACGGCACCTCCCCGCCACCACCACCCTGGCGCGCCAAGCGCGCTGGCGGGGCCTAGTCGCCGCCCAGGGGGCTGGCCGTGGGAGGGGAGGGGGCTGTCCAGCCTCGGCGGAGAGAGCCCGTCCACGGACACCCGAGAGCCCCCAGACATCCGGCGCCTTGATTTCTCCATGCGGGGACCGCTGGAAGCCCTCTCCCCAGGGCCGGTCTATCATCCCGAGCCGTGTTTTTGCCCCCGAGCCCCAGGCCAGCACAAAAAAAAACACCCCGCCGTGGTTCTTGCCCCACGACGCGAGCACAGGGATCGACATGACCCGTGCTTCTCGCTTTCCTGCTGTGCTCGTTTTCCCTCGTTCTGTCGTCCGTCCGCACCCTTGCTGCAGAACGAGACCGAAGCGACAACGGCCCACGAGATCGCTCACGAAAAAAACACCCCTGAGGCCGCGCCCCACGACGCGAGCACGGCTGGGCCCACCTGCAAAAAAAAAATCCTTGTTTTTTGTTTTTTGTTTTTTTGTTTTTTTGCAATCCTTTGTTTTTTTGCGATCCTTTTTTTTGTTGTTTTTGCAGTCCCTGCCGCCATGGCCTCCGGGCTCCCCCCGGCAGGGCGTGGCCTCCTCCTCCGCCCCGCTGACGTAGAAGGCGCGCGCCGCCGCCCCGCGGCGGGGCCCGTGCCGCCCCGCCGCGGGCCGCGGGCCGCGGGCGGGCGCCGCCCAGCAGGCGCGCCGCGGGAGCCCCCGCGGGCCCAGGCGGGCGGACAGCGCCACGGCGGCCGCCACCGCCCACCGCGGCGCGGCGCTGGCCGCGGAGCAGCCGCCGCCGCGCGCCATGGGCCCCGGGCACTGCGGGAAGGGGGGGCCCCCTCGGCGCCTCGAGCCGCAGCGCCTGCGGCGCCAGGCGGGCAGCGGCGGGGCAAGGGGGGGCGGGGGGGACGACGGAGACGAGGGGGAGGAGGGGGAGGAGGAGGAGGAGGAGGAGGAGGAGGAGGAGGAGGGAGGAGGAGGAGGTGGAGGAGGACGAGGACGACGACGACGACGACGACGACAACGACAACGGCGAGGAAGTGCCTCCTCCTCCTCTTCCTCCTCCTCCTCCTCCTCCTCATCCTCTTCCTCCTCTTCCTCATCCTCCTCCTCTCCTATTCCTCCTCCTTCCCTCATCATCATCATCATCATCATCATCATCATCATCATCATCATCATCATCATCATCATCATCATCATCATCATCATCATCATCATCATCATATTCATCTTCATCTTCATCTTCATCATCATCATCTTCATCTTCATCATCATCACCATCACCATCACCATCACTCATCATCAACAACAACATCATCATCATCAGCATCATCATCATCATCATCCATCATCCATCCATCCATCCATCCATCCATCCATCATCATCCATCCATCCATCCATCCATCCATCATCATAATCATCATCATCATCATCATCATCATCATCATCATCATCATCATCATCCATCCATCCATCCATCCATCCATCCATCCATCCATCCATCCATCCATCCATCCATCCATCATCCATCCATCGTCATCATCAGCATCATCAGCATCATCAGCATCAGCATCATCATCAGCATCAGCATCATCATCAGCAGCATCAGTATCCTCATCACCACCACCACCATCATCCTCATCATCATCAGCAGCCGCATCATCATCATTATCATGATTGTAATCATAAGTCATCAACAACAGTAAAATAACAACAACCTCAACATTATCAGAATCAGCAGCAGCATCATCATGAGCAGCATCATCATCACCACCATCTTCATCATCAACATCATCAGCATAATCAGCATCTTCAGTATCATCATCATGAGCATCATCATCATCATCATCATCATCATCGTCGTCGTCGTCATCGTCATCGTCAGCGTCATCAGCAGCAGCAGCAGCATCAACATCATCACCGTTGTCATCATCGTCATCAACCTGATCATAAGCATCATCATCGGAATCGGAATCGTCGTCGTCGTAGTCAGCGTCAGTATCATTTACATTGTCATCGTCATCGTCGTCGTCGACATAAGCGTCAGCATCATCGTTGGCAGCAGCACCAGCACCATCAACAACATCACCGTCATCAGCATCATCATCACCATCATCGTCGTTACCGTCAGCATCCTCAATATCATCGGCGTCCTCGGCATCGTCATCAGCAGCAGCATCATCAACATTATCATCATAACCATCATCATTACCGTCATCGCAATCAACATCGGCACCAGCATCACCATCATCATCAGCATCATCATCATAATCGCTACGGTCATTGTCATCGTCACTGCCATCGTCTGTGTCGTTGTCATTGTCATCGTCATCGTCATCGTCGTAATCGTCATGAGAATAATTGTCATCATCCTGATCACCTCATTGTCAGCATCCTCATCATCATCATTTTCTGCATCATCGTCATCAGCATCAGCATCAGCAGCAGCATCATCATCGTCATCGACATCAGCATCGGCATCGTCATCGTTGTCATCATCATCATCATCATCATCAGCAGCAGCAGCAGTATCATCATTATCATCAGCATCATAATCAGCATCAGCAGCAGAATCATGATCACCAGCTTCATCGTCGCCATCGTCAACCTAATGTTCCTCCACCTCCTCATCATCATGGACCTCATCATTCTCCTCCGCCATCTCGTCTTCCCTCGCCCCGCTCCTTCTCCTCGTGGCTCCCGGCCCTCGTCCATCCCAGGGACTGAGAAGGCGAGCTTCCTTGTACCCGTTCTTGGTCTTGAAGGGATGGTAGCACACATAGGCCGGATCCTCGCACTTCTCCCAGTTGTCGGGCGGGTCGCAGTGCTCCTCCACAGGAGATCCGCGCCGCAGCCGCCGTCGTTGACGTCGACGTCTTCGCCGCCGCCGCCGGTGTCACCATCGTCGCAGTGGGACGCCGACAGCGACGACGACGTCGACGCCCGTCGTCGACGACTCCTCCGTCGTCACCGTCAGCGGCGTCGTCGCCATCTGTCGTCGGCGTCGCGGGAAGCGGCTCTGGAAGGATGCTCGAGGGGGCAGGGCAGGGCCCATCGCGCGGGCGCGCAGGCGCGCTCACCTCCTCCTCCTCCTCCTCCTCCTCCTCCTCCTCCTCCTCGCCTCCTCCTCCTCCTCCTCCTCCTCCTCCTCCTCCTCCTCCTCATTGTCCTCCTCCTCCTCCTCCTCCTTCCTCCTCCTCATTGTCCTCCTCCTCCTCCTCCTCCATCCTCCTCCTCCTCCTCCTCCTCCTCCTCCTCTCCTCCTCCTCCTCCTCCTCCTCCTCCTCCTCCTCCTCCTCCTCTCCTCCTCCTCCTCCTCCTCATTGTCCTCCTCCGCCTCCTCCTCCTCCTTCTTCCTCCTCCTCCGCCTCCGCCTCCGCCTCCTCCTCTGCCTCCTCCTCCTCCTCCTCCTCCTCCTCCTCCTCCTCCTCCTCCTCCTCCTCCTCCTCCTCCTCCTCCTCCTCCTCCTCCTCCTCCTCCTCCTCCTCTCCTCCATCCTCCTCCTCCTCCTCCTCATCCTCCTCCTCCTCTCCTCCTCCTCCTTCTTCTTCCTCCTCTCCTCCTCCTCCGCCTCCGCCTCCTCCTCCTCCGCCTCCTCCTCCTCCTCCTCCTCCTCCTCCTCCTCCTCCTCCTCCTCCTCCTCCTCCTCCTCCTCCTCCTCCATTCCTTCTCCTTATAGATAACTCCTCCCTGTCGCGCCCCGAGGCCAGTTTTAGGGCGGGCTGGGCGTTTCGCCTGAGACTTCCTCACCATTTCTGACTCTGAAGCTTAAAAAGTGGCAACAACTTCACAGATGGAGGGCGGGCCGTTTTCAAAATGCGGCTCTCGCCTTAGCGCCGCGCATATTCGTTCTAAAAATGTGCACTATCTTCACGGATTGAAGGCGGGTCCTTTTCAAAATGTGGCTCTCGCCTTAGCGCCGCGCACATTCGGTTTAGAAAACTTGCCATATCTTCACGGATTGAGGGCGGGTCCTTTTCAAAATGTGGCTCTCGCTTTAGCGCCGCGCACATTCGTTTTAGAAATTGCCAGAGTTTCACGGATAGAAGGCGGCTCCTTTTCAAAATGTGGCTGTCGCCTTGGCGCCGCGCACATTCATTGTAAAAAATTGCAAGGGTTTCACGGATTGAGGGCGGGTCGTTTTCAAAATGTGGCTCTAGCCCTAACACCGCGCAAATTTGTTTTGTAAGAGCTTCACGGATTGAGGGCGGTTCATTTTCAACATGTGGCTCTCGCTATAGCGCCGCGCAGATTCGTTTTTTCAAGGTGCAAGAGCTTCACGGGTTTCCATGATCTCAACGTACCAGAAATGGTGTTTTAGAAGGGTTCAGGATTATGCGGGCGCAACAGTTATGTTGATTCGCTGTGTTGAAGCCACATCAATGGCGTTCTGGCACGACTCTGGATCGTCCAGACGCAGCAGTCAGGTTGATACGTGGCGTTGGTATCCCGAGAACAATGTTGTGACACGCTTCAGGATTTTCAAACTGTTTTCTTCAGACGAGGCAGTTCCCTCAATGGAAATGACCCATGGTAGGGGCCTGTGAAGAGGGAGCTTGGAGGGAGGGTTAATTCCAACATCGTTGATGACTCTTGGGTTTCCACTGGTCGTCCTCCTCCTTCTCCTTCTCCTCCCCCGTCTCCTCCTCCTCCTCCTCCTTCTCCTCCTCCTCCTCATCCTCCTCATCCTCCTCATCCTCCTCCTCTGAGGTGGTGGTGGCGTGTCCTCAGGCGCCTTACCGAGTATTGTAAAGCCTCTGGCCCTCAACTGATGTGCACTCTTTGGCGCTTCTTGGGGCTCCTCGCTTGACTCTTCTGGGGGCCTCGGGAGCGAGGTTTGGGGTCTACACTTCCTGCGCTGTCTCGGGGAACGCTCGGCCACATAGGCTCTTCCACAATGGCAGGGGGCGGCGGTGATTCGCCGTAGGCGTCTTCGATCCGCCGCTCCTTGTTGATTCATCACAGGGGTGCCTGGCGTGCTAGACTCTACTGGTTTTATGTTGGCTCTTTTCGTACAAGAACTCTCCCCTGGCCCTCCGGTCCGTGCCGCCGGCCTCCAGGAAGGGTGGTTGCCGTGCCTCCCCATGGGCCGTCTCGCCAGGGACATCCTCAAAAAAACGCGATCTTAGGGTCCAGATGGCCCAAGATGGCCTCCAAGACGGCCCAAGAGGGTCCGAGATGGCTCCGAGTCCGCCCAAGAAGCCTCAAAGATGGCCCCAGACGGCCCAAGAGACCCCCAAGATCGCCTAAAGATGGCCCTCTAAAGGCCTCCAAGGTGACCGCATGACGGCCCAAGAAGCCTCCAAGACGGCTCCAAGAGGCCTCCAAGTTCGCCCAAGATGGTCCAAGATGGTCTCCAAGATGGCCCAAGAGGATCCAAGATGGTCTCCAAGACGGCCCCAAAGTGTCCACGATGCCTCCAACTCCGCCCAAGAAGCCTCCAAGACGCCCAAGACGGCCCAAGAGGCCACCAAGAGGCCTCCAAGACTGCCCAAGAGGCCTCCAGGAGGTCCTCCAGGAGGACCCGAAAAGGCACAACACGTTGGTTGTCCTTAGGTATTTGAAGGAGCTTGGTATTTGCTTGTTGTCGGCCTTCCGACAGCCCAAGACGGCCCAAGAGGCCCCCAAGATCGCCCAAAGTTCGCTCAAGAGACCTCCAAGATGGCCGCAGCAGAACGGCCCAACGGGCCCCCAAGACGGCCCCAAGAGGGCACCAAGAGAGCCCAAGAGGGCTCCAAGATGACCAACCAGGCCCTGAAGCACCCCAAAAGGGCCCCAACTCGGTTCAGAGAGGCCCCCAAGACGGCTTCCGACGGCACCAGACGGGCCAGGAACGCCCTGAGACAAGCAAAGGGGCTCCCGAGAGGCCCCCAAAGGCCCCTAGAGGCCCAAAAAGGCCCTCCAAATATCTCCAAGAGGCCCCCAGAAAGCTCCCAGGAGGCCCCAAGCGTACCCCTAGAGGCTTCCAACATGCCCCCTCCTCCTCCTCCTCCTCCTCCTCCTCCTCCTCCTCCTCCTCCTCCTCCTCCTCCTCCTCCTCCTCCTCCTCCTCCTCCTCCTCCTCCTCCTACTCCTACTCCTACTCCTACTCCCCCTTATTAGAATATACTCCTACTCCCCCCTCAGCCGGCCATTAGGGGCCGCATCCGGGTGGTCCCATCCTAACCTGTAAAAAACAATACAAAATCAACATGTTTCTTATTTTTTCCTCTCGACATGGACGTCCTGTCGTCCACGGCGATAATCCATTGCAAAAAATACCACAAAGAGCACACGCGCGCGTTCATGTCAGAATCCTACCGAACACCGTGTGTTTGCAAGCATTTCAACATAAAAACATCAAAAACCCAATGCTTTTTCACAAAAATTGTACAAATTTCCCGCCCGGGCTCTCTTGCTGAAATCATAGGAAAACCATAGGAATCTTAAGAATTCTGTCAAATCCAGCGATTTCACGTCATCGCGCGGTGCACTCGCGATGCTCTGTCATGCACCCAGGCCGCGAATCCTGTGCAAAAAATACCACAAAGAGCACACTCGCGCGTTCATGTCAGAATCCTACCGAACACCGTGTGTTTGCAAGCATTTCAACATAAAAACATCAAAAACCCAATGCTTTTTCACAAAAATGCTTTGGGGTGTCCTGTCAGACCGTCGGGCTTCCTCCGGCCACCTCTGGCTTCCTGCGGTGTACCGGGCCATTCTCGACTCGTCTGGCAATGCGTGCGCGGCATTCAACACGCGCTCGCCAGTTCCCGTCGGCAACCGCCATCGCGGCCGCATCAGCTGTACCAAACCGGCTGGCCGGTGTGACTTCGGCCCCCAGTTGTGCCAGCTTTGCTTCTTATGTTGTGGGAGGGCGGGTGGGACTGGGCATGCCATGCTTGACTCGCTCGAGCTGGCTAGCTTGACTCCTACTCCTACTCCTACTCCTACTCCTACTCCTCCTCCTGATCTTCCCCGCCATCCTCCCCCAAGTGTTCCCCAAAGGGTTTCCACAACGGCTGGAGGAACACACGGTCCGATAGCTTGGCAGAGCTATTGCCACAACGCTCGGCCGCATGGACGATTTAAGAAGGCAGGGGGCGGCGGTGATTCGCCGTAGGCGTCTTCGATACATACAACGAAAACAAGGAAGACGCTAGCCCTGCATACCGAGGCCACCAGGTCCAAAGAATCCCCGAGTCCCTGAGTGTCCCGCCTCGCCCGCCACCGCTCCATGACTAATCAGAGGTGACAGGCATCGCAGCGTCACGCTGTCCACAGACATCAAGAGCAGGCATCAAGAACATACGTTAAGGACCTACATCAAGGGGGCAGGCATCAAGAGCATGCGTCGGGGACAGGCATCAAGAACCGACAACAAGAACGCACCTGGAGATCAGGCTTCGGAAACACGCACCACTTGCATAGCTCAAGCGCACACACACACACAGCAAGAAGACACATCCAGTGCAAAGCTCAAGAACATATACAAACAAACAAACGTCAAGACCATAGACCAACAATTGACACCAGGAACCGACATCAATACGTGCCATCAGAACAGGCATCATGGACATGCACCAAGGGCAGACATGGAGAACACATATCAAGAGCAGGCATCAACAACAGGTACCAAGCACATGCATCAAGACCCTGCGTCAAGCACATGACCCACGACCGACATCAATAACAGACACCGAGACCAGACATCCGTGATAAGCACGATGCACGTATATGAAGTACGGGCATCAAAAACAGACGTCAGGATCATACGTCAAGGACAGGCGTCAAGAACAGTCAGTAATAAGATAGATCGAGACTAGGCGTCAGGAGCACGCACTGAAAACATACACCAATAGCAGGCAACAAGACCAGACACCAATAGCAAACATCCATCAGCCGGATCAGCGACATCAAGTACGGACATACAGGGCAGACATCAAGGGAGGGAATCACAAATTGTTCATAAGCAGACATTACATACTGACCTCAATAACATGCACAAATAAAACACAACAAAAACTGAGATCAACAGCATACGTCAATCAGAAGCACCGAGACAATACACGAACGACACGAAGAGGGATACAGCAGTCATCAGAAGCCGTCATTCCGAGCACACCTAAAACGCGCGAGGATCGTACATGCATGCGAATCGGAAAGAGCCGAATGACATGACTGAACTACACATAACACTGCACACAATGTAGCACAAATAAAACGGCATGCGCACGAACACATCGCAACTACTGTGCGCAACGTCCATGCATCAACCGTCATGTATGCAACATGGCGTGCTACAGAGTCACACGCGACGGACTTCGTAACCACTCGCAGCAGCCCCGCGGTGGGGAGCTTCCGAGGCAGAACGGCCAGGGCCCCACCCCACAGGATCCCACCCCAAAAGATTCCAGCCCAGAGGATCCAAACCCACAGCGACCTACCCCATAGGGGCACACCCCACAAGATCCGGCGCCGGAGGTCCCGCCCAGTGGCCTCGTGTTCCAAGACAAGATTCGACTCCACCCCCATGCCGAGGCCGGGCTTAGCAGTCCCCCATCTGAGCGCCGACTTTTCATGTCGAATACGCACGAAAAAAACACCCTCAATGTAGAATCAGACCCTCACAGCAAGGCCAGTATCGGCTCCCCCCGTTATCCATTCCAACTCGTACAATATGGTGCAAACGCGCCGATTGAAGAAGCGCATGTTGCAAGACTCCCTACTAGGTAACGCCGTGCGGGCCACGCCGGCCACGCGCGCGCATGCCGAAATCTTTACAAGACAATGTTCCCCAGTCAGTGCTTGCACTGAAAGGGTCCTCACTGATATTGAAAGATTTGGCGAAAACTCAGGGCCGATTTCAGCACGCGGCCTAGTTCCCGAGTTCCCCGTTCTGGGTTCCCAGGTTCCCCATTCCAGGTTCCGGGCCGTTTTCGATGGGCGGCGGGGTTCCCAGGTTCCCGGGTTCCTGGTCGATCTTCTTATCGATCGGTCTCACCATCGATCTCACTATAGATCGCACGAGCGAACTCACGATCGATCTCACCATTGATCTCATTGAATCGCCGTCACTATCGATCTCATTGAATCGACTTCACTATCGGTATCACTATCGATTCTACGATCGATCTCACAATCGATCTCAGTATCCACATCACTAATTTTCAAACCATCTACTGATTGGTAGATTTTGTCTAGTGTAATTGAAAGATTTGGCGACAGTTCTGGGCCGATCTCGGTAGGCGGCCGGGTTCCTGGGTTCCCGGTTCCTGGTTCCCAGGTTCCCGGTTCCGGGTTCAGGGTTCCAGGCCGATTTCGGTGGGCGGCGGGGTTCACGGGTTCTCGAGTGCCTGGTCGATCTTCTTATCGATCGGTCTCACCATCGATCTCATTACCCACCTTGCTATCGATCTAACTAGCGATCTCACAATCAATATCACGATCGATCTCACAATCGATCTCACTATAGATCGCACAAGCGAACTCACGATCGATCTCACCATTGATCTCATCGAATCGCCGTCACTATCGATCTCATTGAATCGACTTTACTATCGGTCTAACTATCGATCCCACGATCGATCTCACAATCGATCTCAATATCCATATCACTAATTTTCAAACCATCCACTGATTGGTAGATTTTGTCTTGTGTAATTGAAAGATTTGGCGACAGTTCTGGGCCGATCTCGGTAGGCGGCCGGGTTCCTGGGTTCCCGGTTCCTGGTTCCCAGGTTCCCGGTTCCGGGTTCAGGGTTCCAGGCAGATTTCGGTGGGCGGCGGGGTTCACGGGGATCTTCTTATCGATCGGTCTCACCATCGATCTCATTACCCACCTTGCTATCGATCTAACTAGCGATCTCACAATCGATCTCACGATCGATCTCACAATCGATCTTAATATCGATTTCACTAATATTAAGCAATCCACTGATTAGGGGTTTTCTCTGGTGTAATTTCCTTGATGCACTTCAGGATAGAGCTATTCAAACCCTACGGGAACAAAACAAATCTCCACCAAATACCAAATAAAGAAATCATATGTTATGCGAGCGCATTTGCTAAAATCCGCCGACCCTGTCGGCGTGTGTGAGGGGCTTGTCTGTCCGAGTTGTCACCTCCGTCAGTCGTCGTCTCCGTCGTCCCTTTCCCTTCACCCTCCTCCTCAAGCTCGTCGGCGAGATAAAAATCTAGCAATGTCGTGATCGAGTCGACGGGAAGCCCCTTCCCTTTGATCCCTCCCCCGTCGGGGCGGGGGGGTCCCGCGGGGGGTAGGGGGGTGATAGGAGGACGGGGTCCCGGGGCGGGGTCCCCGGGGGGGGGGGGGAGGGTCAGACACGCATCCCCCCCTGGGGGTCCCAGGGCCTCAAAGAGGACAAGCCAAGAGTGCCCCAAGAGGCACCCGAGACGGTCCACGCGGGCCCCCAATCGCCAAACGATCGGTCCAAAACGCCTTCACGCCCTCCAGACTGCCCAGGAAGCCTCCAGGACGCCTCCAAGAATTCCCCGAGAGCAGTCCCGAGGGGGCCCCCAAATAGGCCAAATACGTTGATTTCATCTTCGTGGTTTTAAGATTTGGGCATTCTCGCCTTTTCCACTTCCCGCCGCTCCAACACGGCTCCAAGAGGGCCCAAAAATTGCCCGAGAGGACCGCAAGACAACACAAAAAGGCTCCAAGACGGCCCAAGAGGCCCCCAAGACGGCTCCAAGAGCGTGCCCAGACGGGGGACCCGAACCAACATTTTGAGCCCTCGGCCCCTAGAGGCTCCCAGGAGGCCCCAAGAGTTTCCCAAGAGGCCCCAAGAGACCCACAAGAGGTCCCCAGGAAGCTGGAAGAGGCCGCAACAGGGTCCCAAGAGGCCCCAAACAAGCTACCAAGAGGCCCCATTTGTTCCACAGAGCCCCCGAGAGCCTTCTAAAGGGACCCCAATAAGCATCCCTGAGGACTCGGGCCCACGTCAGCGTCGTCGTCGTCGTCGCCGCCGCCGTTGTCGTCGTCTCCTTTCAGGGTCTGCGGCACCAGCCGTAAGGCCTTCGACAAGTCATCGGAGGTGAGGGTGTGAGATCACAATGAAACGGAGACCCCCCACCAAGAAATCGATTTCGGTTTCGTGTTCGTGTCGTGCGTGCGGGCGAGGCGAAGCTGCGTGGGCGGGCGAGTGAAATTAACCCTCCTCTGGCTGGGGCGCCGCCAGACCAAAAGACCGCCCCTCCCGACCTCCCCGTTGGCCGGCGGTTGTCGGAGGTGTCCCGCCGTGGTGTCCCGATGGTGTCCCGTGATGCCCCGTGCTGTCCCACGGTGTCCGGCGTTGGCCAGGGCTCGCCCGCCAATGTCCTGCAGGTGTCCTGCCGGTGTCCCGCCGGTGTCCCGCCGGTGTCCCGTCGGTGTCCCTTCGGTGTCCCGTCGGTCTCCCGTCGGTGAGATCGACAGTGAGATCGATACTGAGACCGATAGTGAGATCGATAGTGAGGTCGACAGTGTGATCGATGGTGAGATCAGTAGCGAGATCGATAGTGAGATCGATGGTGAGAACGATAGTGAGATCGATTGTGATGTCGACTGTGCTATCGATAGCGAGATCGATGGCGAGACCGATAGTGAGATCGATCGAGTCAGATCGATAGTGAGATCGATGGTGAGACCGATATTGAGGGTGGGGGGGCGCTGTGCCCCTCTCAGCGGCCAGCCCGGGCCAGGCTTCCCGCAAGAGAACTTGGGCCGGGGCTCCTCGACAAGCATGTTGAAGAGATCCTCGCGCGGGAGCTCGAGCACCTTGATAAAGCACTGGTCCATGAACATGTCCTGGACATTTCGTGTGCGATCGCAGCGACCGATCATCCACCTCCTCAGCCTCCTCCTCCCCATCCTCCTCAACCTCCTCCTGTCGCTCCAATTCCGTTTGGCTTTCAACTCGTTGTCCTGCCTAGTGATACAGATTGTACCTTGCCAGAGTGCACAGCGCACTTCAGCTATCAACCAGAGACCTCGAATGGAAATTACGATGATTGTTTTGTCTTTTCTTGTAATGCTGGAACTCAGGCAAAGTGGGCCTTTTGCTGATTATGTCCAAAGTTCAAATAAAGCTTGCCGACGAGTTCAAAAAAAGTTCCAGAAAAGTTCAAAACCAACGGCGCCGATTCTGACCGCTTGACAAGACTCTTGTCCGCCTCCTCCTCCGCCTCCTCCTCCTCATATTCCTCCTCCCCCTCCTCCGCCTCCTCTTCCGCCTTCTCCTCATCGGAGGAGGGAGGGGGGAGGCGGGATGAAGGATGTTCATGGTTTCCGTCCTTTCGGCCTCCCTGGGGGGGGCCCTCGAACAGGCTACCAGGAGGTATGAACGGCCCAGAACATTGAAAACCCTCCTCCCCCTCCATTTCCCCTATCCTCATCAAATTCCTTCCAAACAAATGAAAGTGGTGGTGCTGGTGGTGGTGGTGGTTTTGGTGGTGGTGGTGGTGGAGGAGGAGGAGGAGGTGGTGGTGGTGGTGGTGGTGGTGGTGGTGGTGGTGGCGGTGGTGGTGGTGGAGGTGGTGGTGGTGGGGGGTGGTGATGGTGGTGGTGGTGGTGGTGGTGGTGGTGGTGGTGGTGGTGGTGGTGGTGGTGGTGGTGGTGGTGGTGGTGGTGGTGGTGGTGGTGGTGGTGGTGGTGGTGGTGGTGGTGGTGGTGGTGGTGGTGTGGGTGGTGGTGGTGGTGGCGGTGGTGGTGGTGATGGTGGTGGTGGTGGTGGTGGTGAAGGGGAGAGTGACCCCACACAGTTGCTGCCATCTACGTCTTCAGTCAGCGCCCGCCCGACGCAAGAACTAGACTAACCACTGGCGTGGACGCGCAGCACGCCAGAGGTGTCGCGGAGAAGACTCGCGCGCGCCCCGCGTACCCCGCGCCGAGAGAACTCTCCTCGACTCGCCTCAAAATCCTGCCCCCTACAGGGCGGCCGGCGTGCGCGCTATTCGGAGCAAGGCCGGTTGAGACAGCGGCGGCCCTCCTCCTCCTCCTCCTCCTCCTCCTCCTCCTTCTGCTCCTCCTCCTCCTCGTCCTCTACCACGACCACCACCACCTCCTCCTCCTCCTGATCCCTCCTCCTCGTTCTCGTCCTCCGCCTCCTCATCCTCCTCATCGTCATCATCGTCTGTGAGGGCCGACGATGTCTGAATCGTCCCTCCTCCGAGCCATGCCCTAGTCGGCGGGCGGTCACCATCGAGAGATCAAAATCATTTAGAACCGCGAGATGGCCAGCGTGTCTTGCGCAGCCTGGAGAACGACGAAGGCCAGGATCACCGAGAGGTCGATACCAAAAATGGGCGGCATCCATCCTCGGAACAGGTTGAGGTAAGGATCGGTGAGCTGTATCATCGAATAGAAGGGCTGGCGGTACGGGTTTATGTTCGGGAACCACATGATCGTGATGCGCAGGACGAGCATGGCCATGTATATTTTGCAGAAGTTCAGCGTGCTGAGCCGCATCATGAGGCCGAGGTTGGAGGTAGAGAACTTCTCGAGCACGGCGACGCACCTCGTGCGCAGAAGGCACCGATGCACCACCACCGTACCCCGCAAGTCGGGCGCACGCTGACATGGATTCAGGGACCCGTGGATCTAGCGCGTGGGCGCCAGATCCACGGATCGGGGACCGCGACCCCCGAAACATGGCACCAATGCCGCCTGACTTGGCGACGGAGCGCGCCGAGTTCGTATGGAAACGGGACCCGTCGCTCATCCACGCGCCTGAATCCATGTCTGCGCTTCCTCGAGCAAGGGCCCTCCTGGGCTCATGGCATGGTGCACGCAGTCGACCCCGGCCGAGGCCAGGCGGGCCTCTGCGACACCCTGGGACCCAGGATGGCCATTGGCCCAGGCACGGTGGTGCTGCTGGCCCCGACCCCCGACGCTAGGATTTGTGTCATGACGTCGACCCCCCAGAGGTCTAGACCCATTCCCCAGGACCTGCAATTCATCCTGAGTCGTTCGTTGACGGTCCCGGGGCCCGGCGAGGGCCCCCTGAGGCCAAAAGTTGAAAAAAAAACCTGACGTCGCCGCGATGTGTCCACGACGCGAGGGAGTCTGGGGACAGGGGGCTTCCCTCCGCCTTCTCGCCGCCGCCTGCGTCGCCGCCGCCCTGTCGCCGTCGCCTCGTCCGCGTCGCCGCCGCCGTCGCCGTCGCCGCCCGCTCCGCGGCCGTCGCTGCCCCCGCTGCCGCTGCCGCCGCTGCCGCTGCCGCCGCTGCCTGCCGCCGCACTCGTCCTCCTCGTTGCCGCCGCCGTCGCTCTCGCAGAAGAGAAGACTGTACCCCGCGCCCCGCGGACCTCTGGAACCCGGCCGGGAACGCGCCGAGCGCGCCGCTCGCGGTGGCGCAGCCGAGCAGCGGGCGCCGCCCCTCCCCGCGCCCGCCGCGCCGGCGGGGCAGGGCCGCCAGCAGCGCTGTGCACACCTCGGCCACATACAAGAGAGCGGCCCTGTGTGCGTGGCTTCAGGGGCCTTCGGCGCGCGGCTTCAAAGGGGCCTTTGGTGCCACCTCGGCAAGAGTGGCCCTTGGTGCGTGGTTTCAAGGAGGGCCGCGGGACAGGCCAATTCGAGGCGCGCCAGCCAGTGCTGGGAGGGCCCCTGTGGGCCCTCCCCAGAGGTCACTCTGGCCTTAGGTCGGGCATGTCACCCCCCTACGGGGGGATCTTCCAGGGCAGAAAAATGCACAAAATTATTGAAAAAGGAAAAAATCTCGAAAAATCGCCCCCGCACTGTTCTTTGGCTATTCTTGAATACACCTCCTGTAGAGGGACAGGCCCGACTCAACTCTGGCGAAGCGCCGCTCTTACGAGTAGCCGAACACCGCGGCCGCGGCAGCGGCCAGCCCCCGCTGACCCGGCGCCGCGCGGGCGCGCGCCGGGCGCGGCGGCGCGGGGGCGCGGCGCGGCGGCGCCCCGGCGGCCCCGAAGGTGACGGGCCTGTTGTCCACCACCACCACCAGAAGTTGGAGCGGGGAAGGAGGAGGGAGGAGGAGGAGAGGGAAGGAGGAGGAGGAGGAGGAGGATAATGAGGAGGAGGAGGGAGGAGGAGGGAGGGGAGGGAGGAGGAGGAGGAGGAGAGGAGGAGGAGGAGGAGGTGGAGGAGGAGGAGGAGGAGGAGGAGGACCGCCCCCCCCTCCAGCTCATGGTGGTGGCGGTGGAACACAGGCCCATCAGAAGGGAGCCCTGGGCGGCCGCGGCGCGGCCGCCGCGAGCTCCGCGAAGGCCGCCGCCGCGCCGTCGGCGCCGGCGACCGCGGGCGCGGCGCCGAGGAGGAGCAGCAGCGCGGCGGCTGGGCGGCGCATGGCTCCCCCGCCGCGCGGCCGAGAGCACGGGTGGTGGGGCCGCCTGCGCTCCTCCGAAGGGAGGCGCGGGCCACCGCCGCCGAGAACCCATTGGTGAGGTGCTGAGCCCTGGGCTGGGGGAACGAAGAATGACAGGCTTCATCGTGTTACTAGGCTTAGGGGTTCATTAGGGGAAGGAGCAATGACAGAAACATACAAACTCGGAGGTCCGCGCGGATTTCTCGGATCGGCGCTGGAGCACCCTGGCGGCGCCTCCGGCGCCGCCCCTGGCGCGCTCCGCGCGCCAGAAAGGGGTGGGTCCAGCGCGGATCCGAGAAATCCGCGCGGACCTCCGAGTTTGCATGTTTCAGTCATTCTTTGTTCCCCTAAGCGGTGAGGGGCCGATCCCTGGGCGGTGGCACGTCCCGACCTTCACCCCAGCGCAAGCCGACGCTCGGGCGGGCCACCGCTCAGGGGCTGGTCCCGCACGGGTGGGTTCCCGGCGGCGGTGGCCCACACTTCTCCTCTGAGCCCTGGCGCGGAGGGGGGTGCCTGCCGCGCAGGGCGCTCGGGGTCAAAATGGCTCCGAAACGAACAAACGAGCAAGCGAACGCATCTCAACGAGAGCTGTCCCGACTGCCGGGATGGGCGTGTAGCGCGCCGCAGCGCTCAGTGCGTCTTCTCGCCGTGGCCTATTTGAAGATGACGGATGCCGTTGATTTCGAAGATGGCTCTGGAGTAAAGCCTGGAAGCCTGGCACACTGTGTATGTACGTCTTCTGATGATATTGGATCGGACTTCGGAGGAAAGCACGACTCAGATTCATACATCGGTTTTCAACACAGGCCTAACTTCACTGAAAGGTAGACGCAGAGGAGAGCAAGCGGGGGAGGGAGGGCGCAGTAGGAGTAGGGGCTTGACCTCGTAGTCTTTTTGCACCTGTGGTAGCTGTCAAGTCAACAACATATGTCGGAGTCATGACACACGTGGATGTCTTGGCTGCGCCTGGACCCCAGCAAAGCGTACAGCCATTGATCCAAAGATAGCTTGATTCACAAGGACTGCTGAAGCTGATACGTATGGTCGTTTGGTATGACTTCTCTTCTCAGTTATCCCATGGATCTGTATCCCACCTCACACCATCGTCGCCAACGCTACAGATCCCGTCACGACCCTCTGTAACCCGCAGCCCCTTCTCACCGTCGCCCGACATCCGAACGAAAACATACCGCCCTCTATTTGCATTCTTCACGGCCTGCTCCCCCTCCGCAGCTGGTAGGCACCCATACTGGTTAGCACGTCGCTGGCTGGGCCACTCCTCCTACACCTCCTCCCGCCTCCGCCACCTCCTCCTCCACCTTCGCCGCCTCCGCCTCGGCCTCCGCTCTGGAGGACCGTGGGGGCCTCTGCAGCCCCCCGAGGTCCAAAGAGGGCCAAGACCACCCTAAAGCCTCGACTCTCAATCCTCGATCCTCCCCTCCTTTCTAACCCCTCGACCCCCTGTACTCCCCAGGCGTCCGACGTCACGAGTAGTTCAATACCTGGTCTCTGGAGCTCTCGACCCCTTCCCGGGGTCTGCAATCTCATACCAGATCGTCACGAACAACCTGCCGCCCCTACCTGTCCGCGACAAAGCATCTAAAGGTCCTACACCTTCTCCTCGTCCCTCCTCCTCCTCCTCCTCCTCCTCCTCCTCCTCCTCCTCCTCCTCCCCTCCTCCTCCTCCTCCTCCTCCTCCTCCTCCTCATTATCATCCTCCTCCCTCTCCTCCCTCTCCCCAACTCCCCCTCCTCATTACCCTGTTTGTTGTTCTTCGTCGTATTCGACTCAACGCCGCTATTACTCTGAGCTTCATGTATAGTTTTAGCTGAATTAGCGTTGTGATGCGTACTCGTCTTCGCATTCGTCATTTATGATTCATCATCGTCATCGTCATGGTCAGCAGCACCAGCGTCATCAGAATGATCCTCACCACCGTCATCATACTCATTCTCAGCATCCCCTATCATCGCCACAATCAGCATCGTCGGCATCATCACCACAACCACCATCAGCGTCACCATCAGTATGCTCATCGTCCTCATCATCATCACCACCACCACCAGCATCATCATCATCAGCAGCAGCATCATCATATGCATCAGTATCATCATCAGCAGCAGCATCATCACCAGCATCATCATCATCATCATCATCATCATCATCATCATCATCATCATCATCATCATCATCATCATCATCATCATCATCATCGTCATCACCGGCGTTATCGTTATAAACACCACCATCACCATCAGCACCATCACCATCTGCAGCACCAGCATCACCACCCCCACCATCATCATCACCACAACCAGCATCGTCATGGCCAACATCATCACCATCAGCAACAACAACAGCATCAGCATCATCACCATCATCGTCATCAGTATCATCATCATCATCATCATCATCATCATCATCATCATCATCATCATCATCATCATCATCATCATCATCATCATCATCATCATCATCAACCTCACATCATCCCTCCCTCGCCCGGCCCCACTCGTCTGTCTCCCCCTCGCCTTCCCCCTTCTCCTCCCCCTCCCGCTCCCTCCCAACCCCATCCTCCATCCCCACTCCGGCTCATCCTCCTCCTCATCCTCCTCATATGCACTAGTCTTAGAAAAAAGGGGACCGTCGTCTGCGCACTGCCTGCCATTGCACGGACGATAGAGGGAGTGGCTCCAAGAGACGCGGAGGCTCCGCGTCCAAATGAACGGTTGTGGCCTTGCGTAAGCCGCCCTGGTTTAGCCCTGTCAAGAAAGATGGCACCATCTTCTTTACACCCCCTCCAGCTGAACCCGCTCCCTCTAGGGTGGGTTCACGAGTCCTACGTCATGCAGTGTGATAATAAGATGCTGCTCCGGGAGAACAGGAAGTGTGGGTGCTTCGCGAATGCCGAGTTGGTTAGCCTCGGCCGCTTGTGCAGTAGGGGCATCACTCCGACCAGGGCGGAGTACCTCAATCGCAAATTCAGGAAATTGCGGCCAAAGGCTTGCGAGCACGTTGCCGCCATGTGTAATGCACGGTTGGTGGGCACTTGTCGACACTGTAACATGGCATGCTCATACCCATCCTCGTGCTCCTACGCATACTCATTTTTCTGCTTCTCCTCCACCTCCTACTTCTCCTCCTCCTCCTCTACACCTGTTCCTTTTCCTGCTCGCGTCCCACTCATTCACCAACAATATAGAAAACTCCTCCCCATACTCGCATTCCTATTACCCTCGTCCTCCTCCTCCGCATGATCCTTTTCATGACCATCATCATCGTCGTCATCATGGTCATTATTAGCATCAGCAACAACGGAAGGGGGCACACCCTGGCCCCTGTACAGGGCCGCACGTTGTGCGATCACTCCTCGGTGGAGGGGAGAGCCGCTGTTGTTGTAAACCAGGGGCCGGGGGCGCAGTTTGGTGACCCCTGGCTGCCCCTTGTAAAAAACCAGGGTGCGAGTCCCAGGAGAAGCACCTTAATTGGAAAATCCGCGTGCCCCCTGGTGGGGCCACCAGGCTGCAGGGTGAGGACATGCTGCACACTGCACCAGTTGCATTCTCAAATCCGCGAGAAGGGGGGAGCCCCAAACCGGCAATTGACCACCCTCAAATCGCGTTGCCTGAATTCCGGGGGGGGGTCGCGGGATAAACCCTCCGAACGTACGCAAGGGTCGCGTCCCCGAATCCGTAAACCCTTGAAATTATACCATTGTTGCGCCGCCGAGGCAACAAAACTTTTAAATCACGCCATATTCGCGTCCCCGAAGCCATGATCCCTCGTAGATTTCATGATACCCGCGTCCCCGAGGCCACAAACCCTTGCAACGTCGTCTGCAATTCTCGAATCCCCGAGACAACAAACCGTTGCAAATTTCGCAATACTCGCCTCCCCGAGGCCATATACCCTCTCGAACTACACCATATTTGCATTGCCGAGGCCAAGAGTGCTCCAAGGTGCCCGACGATGGTTTCAAGACACCCCAAGAGGGCCCCAAGAGACCCCAATAGCGCTCTAAGAGGCCTCCCGACAGAGCCCCAAGAGGTCAAAATCGTCGAAGTTACGACGGTTTTTGAAGCATGCGGGCCTTCTCGCATTTTCTG